AAGTTACTACTCTAAACAGGATCTTTCTCTTTCATGATCTTTTCTTTTCTTTCATGATCTTTTTAATTGTAGTAAAATACACATAATAAAACATTTACCATTTTACCACCATTTAAGTGCACATTTCAGTAGCTTTAAATACATTCACACTGTTGCTCAACCATCAACCACCCTCTACCTCCAGAACTTCCCATCTTGCAAAATTCAACCTCTTTACTTATAAAGCAGTAACTCCCCATTCTTCTCGCCCTGCAGCCCCTGGCAACTACCATTCTATTCTGTCTCCATGAATCTGACTACCCTAAGTACTTCATATAAGTAGAATCATACTGTATGTGTCCTTATGTGACTGGCTTATTTCATATAACAATGTCTTCAAGATTCATCCATATTGTAGCATGTATCAGAATTTCCTTCCTTTTTTTAAAAAAAATTTTGTGGTAAAACATGTAATACGACAATGACCATCCTAACCAGTTTTTCAGTGTATATAGTGTTAACTATATGCACATTGTTGTCCAACAGATCTCTAGAATTTCTTTTCATCTTGAAAAACTGAAATTCTATAGTCAGTGAAAACCATTGCCCTATCTTCCTATTACTGGCTTATTTCACCTAAAATAATTACTTCAATGTTCATCTATGTTGTAGTGCGTATGACAGGACTTCCTTGTTTTTTTAAGGCGAATATTCCATTGAAGGTTAATACCATGTTTTCTTTATCCATTCATCCATCAGTAGACAATTAGGTTGCTCCCATCTTTTGGCTATTATGAATCATGCTACAGTGAACATCAGTATGCAAATACCTCTCTGAAATCCTGTCATCACTTCTTTTGGATATATACCTGAAAGTGAGATTGCTAGGTCATATGGTAATTTACTTTCTTTTTCTTTTTTTTTTTTTAAGATTTTATTCATTTATTCATGAGAGACACAGAGAGAGAGGCAGAGACAAAGGCAGAGGGAGAAGCAGGCTCCCCACAGGGAGCCCAATATGGGACTTGATCCCAGAAGCCCGGGATCACAACCTGAGCCGGAAGCAGATGCTCAACCACTGAATCACCCACGTGCTGCAGTAATCTACTTTCTAAAAGACTATTTTTTAGAGTAGTTTTAGGTTCACAACAAAATTTAAAGGAAGGTACAGAGGTTTCCTACATACCTCCTGCCTCCACACATGCGTAGCCTCCTCTATTATAACTTCCCCACCAGAGTGGTACATTTGATACAACTGATGAGCCTCCCTTGACACATCGTAATCACCCAAAGTCCACAGTCCTATGGGCATGGACAAATGTATAATGATGTGAATCCATCATTAAAGTATCATACGAAATATTTTCACTGCCCTAAAATCCTCTGTGGTAATTCTATTTTTAATTTTTTAAGGAAACTCCAAACTCTTTTCCATAACAGACACACAATTCCATATTTCTACCAATGATGCACAAAGATTTCAATTTACCAATTTACCCATAACTTCACCAACATTTGTTGTTTTCTGTCTTGTGGTGTTTTGGGTTTTTCTCTATGAAGCTATCCTAATGTGTGTAAGGTGGTATCTCACTGTGGTTTTTATTTGCATTTCTCATATGATGAGTAGATTGAACATTTTTTCATGTCCTTATTATTGGCCCATCATGTATCTTCTTTGAAGAAATGTCTATTCAAGCCCTTTGCCATTTTTGGCCACTTTGGGTACTTTTTTTTTTCCTGTTGTGTTCTAAAAATTCTTTATATATTCTGGATATTAATCCTTTAACAGGATTAATATATGATTTGCAAATCTTTTCTCCTATTTACCTTTTCACTCTGCTGTGTCCTTGGATGAAGAGAAGTTTTAAATTTTGATGTAGTCCAATTTATCTATTTTTTTCTTTTGTTGACTGTGCTTTTGGTTCCAAGCCAAGAAATTATTGCCAATATAATGTCATTAAGTTTCCCCTTATGTTTTCTTCTAAGAGTTTTATAGTTTGCTCTCACATTCTGACTCTGTTGTGGATTTTGGACAATTCTTTCTTATAGGTTTGGAAATTCCCCCACTTAAAACTAAAATCATCTGTTCCTTCCAAATCAATATCCACCTCAAGTGATAGACAAAAGAGGGAAAAAGAATAATGCACAAAATAGACACAGAATTCTCTCCATGACAAGAACAATGTTGGAATTAAATCTTACAGGTCCAGCATTATTAAGTCACCAATCCAAAGAACAACACAGATTTCTTTTTGAGAAATTCAGAATTTTCAACTTAGGGTTGCTACTAAAATAAAAGTATTTAGGTCCCTCCACCAAAGGCTCCCTTCTTTATTACAATTTCATAGTTTTTCTATTGCCTTTTAAAATATTTATCTTCTTTATCCTCCACTGTGGTGTTTCTTGATGTTGCCATTATTAATACTTTTTTTTATGCCTAACACGTTAACTTGTTTTGCAAACAGCTGCCTCAAAAGCCTAAGGGTGCCTGTATAGTTAGGCACCAATTTAAGAAGTCTGCTTTCTGGAATAATATTTATTCATTAATATTCTTGAACACCTGCTTTGTGTAAGACACTGTGAAAAAAAAAAGCTGCAAAACTCACCAGAAAGGTCTTATACACTGGCCTTAATAGGCCATACTCAGTATCATAATCACTTAAAAGGATAATGGCCTGGAAATAAACATACCAGCAGGGCAGCATGGGCATTTCTTCCCAGATCATCACAGCAGGAAATACAGTTGACAATGAACTAACTCTCTTCTGGCCCTCCAGATGACATGTCAAGTTCAAGGGACCAAGACTCATACCCAGTGGGTTCAAGAAAACGTGTTAGAAGATAGTTTGACAATAGGTCATAGCTTTGAATGCCAAGGTAAGACATATAGTGCTTTCTTTCTTTCTTTTTTTCTTTCTTTCTTGTTTTTTTTTTTTTCCTCTGATGACTTCTAAGTAAGGGATTAATAGGATTGAAACTCTGGCAACATTAATATGGCAGCAATATGTAAGGGGCTAGAAGTAGAGAAAGACTACAGGCAGGAAAATATTACATTCCATTGAAGGAATAAGAACATTAACAGTAGTAATGTAACAGGAGTAACCAACACTTTTTTTTTTTTTTTTACCAATTTGCTATTTGCCACTCTACTAAGCATTTTTCATTTATGAGGCCCTTATAACGACCTATGAAATTGTTTTTTGTACAAATATTATCTCCTTCATAAATGAAGAAATTGAGGCATCTATAGATCAAGTAACTTGTCCAGGGTCTCATGGCTAGTAAGTGGTAGGACCAACATTTGAACCCAGATAATCTGGTTCTAGAGCCAATAATCTTAATGACTCAATACCACCACCTCACAGAGTGAACTGTGCATACTCACGCTGCCTAAGATTTTAGAAAAGCCTGTAAGGGATAACACATTCCTCCCTAAGAAACTTGATAATGATAGGGCCAACTGTTGCACTATTAGACTCAGCAAATCAATACATGTAAGGATATCCTGTGAGAATAAAAAATGAGATCTTGAAGGACAGTTGGTACCTCTTTATTCAGTGCCCACCAAGTGCCAAAGATTCATGCATCATCTCATTTATTCCTCACAACTACCTATGAAGGAGGTATTGCTTTTAATCCATTTTTCCCCCCAGATGAAACAATCTAGTTCAGAGGCTATACCTTCTGTCCCTCATTACAGAGCCAGTTAGTGACAGCAGTAGAATCAGAATCCAGAGTCACATTAATCTCACGCTCTTCCCACCACCTCATGCTGAGGGCATGGAGTGTTAGGATAAGAATACTGCCAGTCTGGAAGGACGTGTGGTCCTTCTACAGAGACCAACATCTTGGGAAGACCTGGAGCCACATAGAGGTGTGTGTGCAGCTACGTTCCTAAGCTGTCTCTTCACCCAGCTAGAAGTTGTACCAGATGCATGCCTGAGTTAGCCCTTGTTCCTTGGAACCAAAATGAGCTTGTCAATTCAGGTAGGGTGAAGGTAGCTCCAGGGATCCCAGCACACAAAATGCAAACATGAAACCTCATGGAAGTTCAAAACTATAGGCTAACAGTTTGTGGCCCTTCATGAAGAGAGGTTAAAAATAAAATTCTCTGAAGAGAACTGAGGTAAGTCAGAGGGAAGTGAGGACAGCTCCTGGAAATTGGAAACCCAAGGGAATGGAGTCAGAGATCTGGAAATGGACTATGTTTTCTCAGCTAATTCGTATATGTTTAACCTCAAAGTTTCGCAAAACTTTACTCTTAGAAAATGCTTATGTGGGCAGCCCAGGTAGCTCAGCGGTTTAGCGCCACTTTCAGCCCAGGGTATGATCCTGGAGACCTGGGATCAAGTCCCATGTCGGGCTCCCTTCACGGAGCCTGTTTCTCCCTCTGCCTGTGCCTCTCTCTCTGTGTGTCTCTCATGAATAAATAAAATCTTTAAAAAAATAAAAGAAAAATGCTTATGAGACAGTGTTAAATTTAAAAAAGCAAAATGCACCAACATAATTCGGAGATGGTAGAATTTTGGTTTTTACTTCATTTTCCTTTTCCTGAATTTTTCAAATTTCTTATAATAGACATATATGATTATCCAGGGATAAAAACAAAATATACTAATTGAAATACTTTTAATCAATACTTAGGAAGATAAAAAGAAAAAAAAAACATTTCACAAAGAATAGTCTCTAGTAATTCCCAAATGCTCAAAGGGGCTACATCAAAATCACCTGAGACATTTATAAAAAAGAAAAAAAAAAACAACAACAACAAATTTCCAGAACCCAAAGACCTACTCAGTCAGAATTTCCCTGGGGGGAGCCTAGGAATCTGGAGTTTTAACAAGCTCCCCAGGTGACTATAATCTTTTTCATCAAGAAAGTCCAAAAGCACTTTCAATTCTCTTTCTCTTTTTCAAGGTTCTTTGATGATCTAACACTAGTTATATTGGAAAGCAAATACACAATTTTCAACAGTGAGAGGAAGTGACCAGCGTGAGGACCTGGATGGCCTCATGTCTCACCATTCATCTCTGCAAACTTCTGAACATCACTTAGGGTTTTCAATTCTTGTCTTGGACATGCTGTTACACAGAGTGCTACAGACTTGATCTTTCGGTTTATCAAGTCCAGATTGCATGGATCCAAAAAGAACACATACCTAAAGCATGGAGAAAAATATTGAGATGTTATTTCACAAGAACACATTCTGGTCCACTGCCTAATTTGACTAAGCCTAAAAGCAAAGAACATCTATTCCATACTCATTCACAAATTTTATCAAAGATGAACAGACATTTCACCAATCTAATCAGTTTTCTTTTAATTAATTAATTGTAAATAATGGGGGCTGGAAGAACTGGAGGACTTTTGTCATGATGCATTTTTAAATATTTAAATTTCTGTAATGTATACTTTATAATTAGAAATTATCTATTTTAGTTTTTAAATAATTAATTTGTTTTATTTTTTGTCAAACTTGTGCCTAAAAATTACTAGAGTATCCTAAGACTGCCGAATAACATGAATTATAGTTTATATATAAACATTAGCTAACGAAAATATAATTATATAAAAAGTAAAATTATAAAAACATAAACTTTTGCTAATGAATATATAATTGCAAAAATGAGTTATAAAATTATATAAAATTGAATATATAAAGTTATGAGTTATAAAATTATATAAAATTGAATATATAAAGTTGAATGGAGACTAGAGGGGAAAACATCAACATTTTAACTACAGTCATCTCTGGATATTAGAATAAAGTGATTTTAATTTCTTTCACTTTTCAGAATTCTCATTTTCTAGAAAATGTAAATGACTTTTGAAAAGAGGTAACTACAATAAATATTGCTTATTAAAAAGGCCCATAACATATCAACAAAATAATGTCCAAATCTTAAATCATCCCTTTTATATGCTATACATTTATATTTTAGAAAAGGAAAGATTAGTCAGAAATTACACTGAAACAGATTTTTTTTTAAATGTTAAAAAGTAGAAGAGAGGGGATCCCTGGGTGGCTCAGCGGTTTAGCACCTGCCTTCGGCCCAAGATATGACACTGGAGTTTAGCGCCTGCCTTCAGCCCAAGATATGATTTGTAAATCGAGTCCCACATCGGGCTCCCTGCATGGAGCCTGCTTCTCCCTTTGCCTGTGTCTCTGCCTCTCTCTCTCTCTCTGTGTCTATCATGAATGAATGAATGAATGAATGAATGAATGAATGAATAAATAAATAAATAAATAATCTTTTTTAAAAAAAGTAGAGGAGATGGCAAAGATTGTGGATGTTCTCATCTACCCAAAAAGAAAGTAAGAGCCAAATACTCTTAACTGAGAAAAGCAAGGTCTACCATGGATCAGTGGTGTGGGAGGTACAAGCAGGAATGCCTTTAAGTAAGAGAGCAGTTAAAAGAACCTCCGGTGCGCTGGTTTCCATTCTACTGGGTCTGCAGAAAGTTTTATGAAATCATCTATCTGCCAACAGCCTTCCCACATTGTTAAACTCCGTTGCTTTGCTATATAAAATAGGATTCAAATCAGGAAATATAACCAAATATAAGAACTAGGTGAGGAAATTGAAAAGCAAGTCAATACACATGCTGGAATGGACCATATAAAACGATACCAGAAAAAAAAAATTAAACAGAAAACAAAAGTGCGTATGTCACAGGGAGGAGGACCTGAGAGGCCTTTGCAGGTGCAGTCATGTCACATACTGCAGAGGAGCCAGGTTCAAGCACAAAGGCCAGGGATAAGCTACAAACCACCAAACTAAAAAAAACAAACAAAAAACCCCCCAAATTTGTAACGATGTTCATGACTCCAATACCATTAATGTTCTACATAGATAAGAAGAAAGAAAGAAGCCAAGCAGAAAGATGTTATTTGGAAGTGGAATTCACAGACTGTTCCCGTGTCTGATGACAGGGAACTAGCACACAGAGAAAACCTTCTGACCATCTTTGTGTGGAAACAAGTGCTCCCCTACTTCCTCTCTCTCCATCGATCCTGTGCACGGGAGTGAGCTTGTCATGCCTGGGAAATCTGGCAAGGGACGTGGCACAAAGCCAGCTCCAGGGCAGAGAACACACAGGTCCTTGTGGGAAGTGTCATGAAAACTTGGAATCATTTACCAGCACCACCAAGGATACTGTTAACAAGAACAATAAAAAATAATGGTAGCCAAGGTTTATTGAGTACTTACTATGTGCCAGATGCTGTATTACACCTTTTACACATATTAATTCACTCATCACACAGTCCTCACCACAATCCTGCTGTCTGTTTTTGTGGGGAGCAGGCAGGTGGGCTGTGGAACTGGGGTGGGAAGAGGAGTTAGATGCACAGTTCTAAGTGATGAGCAATGCCTGGAGAAGTATCTGCAGAAATTACATGACAGGGACGCTTGGGTGGCTCAGTGGTTAGGTGTCTGCCTTCGGCTCAGGGCATGGTCCTGGGGTCCCGGGATTGAGTCCCGCATCGGGCTCCCTGCATAGAGCCTGTTTCTCCTTCTGCCTATGTCTCTGCCCCTCTCTGTGTGTGTCTCTCATGAATAAATAAATAAAGAATCTCGAAAAAAAAAAAAAGAAGAAGAAATCACATGACAATAGGAAAACAGGCTTGGGAAAAAGGAGAGCCAGAGGCTCCTAGGCCTTTGCTGTTGGATCAGTGACATCGCCTTTCACAACCTGCTGAGAACAGATACCTTGTCTGACCGTCCTGCAGGAATCTGCCTTCTCCAAGGCCAAAAATGTTCTCACTGTATTTGCAATCTCTTATATACCTTAAAGCACACTCTTGATTTATCCTAGTGACTGAACAGTAGCCTTCTATCAGGTGTGGGTCAGACCAATCTCAGCCTACTTTCTGGCTCTCTTTCTTAACAGTTCTCTGCCCTTGGGGAATATGCTTCTTTTTTTTTTTTTTTTTCCTTTGGTCACTAGTTATTTTTTTTTATTTTTTTTTATAAATTAATTTTTATTGGTGTTCAATTTACCAACATACAGAATAACACCCAGTGCTCATCCCGTCAAGTGTCCCCCTCCGTGCCCGTCACCCATTCACCCCCACCCCCCGCCCTCCTCCCCTTCCACCACCCCTAGTTCATTTCCCAGAGTTAGAAGTCTTTATGTTCTGTGTCCCTTTCTGATATCTCCCACACATTTCTTCTCCCTTCCCTTATATTCCCCTTCACTATTATTCATGGGGAATATGCTTCTTTCTGAGCCTCAGTTTCCTTATGTATAAAACTGCATAGTTTTATAGTTTTTTTATACCTATTTTATAGTTTAATGTTACTGATACTATACATAAAACAGCTAACATGCAGTATATACTCAGTGATCTTTATCATTAAGAAAACTATTTGCCTTTTCAGGAATTTTACATATGATAGTAAGGCACTAAATTCAACACTTTCTGATATGGGCATACAACAGGACTCTTATACTAACATTATCCATTATTTGGAAGAAAAATCTGTGTAGGAGTATTCCCGACTATTAGGTCATTAGCCATGATAAGAACTAAGGAGGCCTTGAGGTGCCTGGATGGCTTAGTCAGAAGAGTAAGTGATTTTTGATCTCAGGGTCCATGAGTTCGAGTCCCACAATGGGTGCGGAGTTTACTAAAAAATAAATAAATGAACTTTAAAAACAACAACAATTAAGTAGCCCTCTAGAAGCCATCTGGCACAAGGTATAAAATAACACAGCAGCCAGAGAAGAACTCTAGCATGTCTATAACACTATAAAATTAACACCACTCATTCTTCAGCCTGTATGTATGGTATGGAAGAATTTACTTCAACAGAAGACAATCTTAAACGATATCCTCAGGAAATAAAATCACTTGCACATATATACACCATTATATGCAAAACAGTCTTCCATCTCCACAGTCTATGAATACACGCCTTTAATTCCTTACACACTCCACATATTCAAATGCACATACACACAACATATGTGTGTGCATACACACAACATTTAACATGATTTATAGGCCTTAGAGTCCGATTCTAAGAGACTCATGCTCTACTGACTAGGCTAGCTGGGCAAGATTCTGATTCTATTAACACTTACTGGATGTCTGGGTCCTAGGAACTGTCACATTCATGACTTTATTTGATCCTCACAACAATTTTAAGAGCTAGAGGCTATTGCCATTCCACAGAGGATAAAATTGAGGCCCTAGGGACTAAGTACATGACCCAAGTGAGCTAGTAGATGCCAGAGCATGAATTTAAACTTAGTCCTTCTGATTTGGTGTTTCACGCCATGTCCAACCTGCTCTATTCCCAAAATATTTCCTACAAAATAATAAATCATTGTAACTGTTCTGTATTAACATTTAATATTGTTTTCAGCATCCTGAAGTTCATTCAATCCATGGCAACATGTTCGTAAGTAATTAAATTTTAACTGAATGGCATAATAACCGAATATTTGAGTAGGAAAAGTGCATGTGTCAAATAGACAAATTTATGATTCATTAAAATTGCACCTTCTTGCCTTTTGATTTAAAAATGCCATTAGCCAGGTAAATAAATCCTTACATTAGTTTCAGTTTTCATTTCAAACAAAATGAACTGTATTTGCCAATTTCATTTTTTGGGAAATGAAACAAATAACTAACTCTCAAATAAGCATGACATTGGCAAACCAGATTATTTTAACTAACAAATCTACCGATAAGTTGGGTTTTTTTTTTAACCGAGAGAGCAAAGACACCAAATAGGAGGCTATAAAACATACTATAAAGGTTTCCTAAACAGTCTTCTTGGACTCTGCCACTGGGTAAATAAATGGTTGGGAAGGGGCTGGAGCCCATGGATTCATGATTACACGCCCTGGCTCCTATGCCCCATCCTTTCAAGGTGGAGAAACACTGTCACAGATAACCAATAAACTGGAGTGAAAAGCCAATTTTTTTTAAAAAGATTTTATTTATTTATTCATGAGAGACACAGATTGAGAGAGAGCACAGACACAGGCAGAGGGAGAAGCAGACTCTATGCAGGGAGCCTGATGTGGGACTCGATCCTGGGCCCCCTGGATCATACCCTGGGCCGAAGGTGGCGCTAAACCACTGAGCCACCCAGGCTGCCCCGAAAAGCCAATTTTCATTGCTATCTCAAGGAGTCTTTGCTA